ACCATACAAGTAATTAAGTCCCTCAGCTCCTGATTAATTACTCCCCAGGTCGGGATCCAACCATACAAGCCGCTCTCGGACCGGCCGCGGACTGCGGCGAACGCGGCGCGCGACCAGCGCGCGGCGGCGGCGGCGAAGGCCGAAGCGGCGGCGGCAGCGGCGGCGAAGGCCGAAGCGGCGGCGAAGGCCGAAGCAGCGGCCACGGCGGCGGCGGCGGCGGCGGCGGCGGCGGCTACGGCGGCGGCGGCGCTGACCGCACAGACGACGTCGCCGGCGGCAGCAGAGGCTGACGTGGCGCTGGAAGGGGGGGAGGCTGCTGATCTGGCGATGGAGGAGGCGGAGGCGGAGGCGGAGGCGCAGGCGGAGGCGGAGGCGGAGGCGCAGGCGCAGGCGGAGGCGGAGGCGCAGGCGGAGGCGCAGGCGCAGGCGGAGGCGGAGGCGGAGGCGCAGGCGGAGGCGGAGGCGCAGGCGGAGGCGGAGGCGGAGGCGGCGGCGGGCGGAGACGGCGCCTCGTCAGAAGTTGCATCCTCCGCAGCCACGGGCAGCCACGCCGCCGCCCCCGGTCTCACCCCCGCCTCCGACGTGGCTCCCGGCATCCCTGACGCCGCCTCCGCCTCTTCCGCCCCCGTCCCGTCGCCCTCCGCGCCTCCAGACGCGGCGCCGGCGCCGAGGCAGAGGGCTCCCGGGCAGAGGGTGCCATCTTCCTAGACACTTCCTAGACACTTCCTAGACACTTCCTAGACACTTCCTAGGCAGCCCGGGCAGAGGGTGCGATCCGCCGAGAGGGGACGAGATCGACGAGATTGCACGAGATCCGCCGAGATTCGACGCGCCGAGGTGGAGCCGAGAGTGGCAGGCTGGAAAGGCAGAGGGGGACGGCGATCCGTGGGAAAGGGGGGGGGGGGGGGTGAAGCGATGCCTCGGGTCATCTCGGCGCAATCTCGGCGCAATCTCGGCGCAATCTCGGCGCATCTCGGCGCGTCTCGGCGCGTCTAGGTGTCCTCGGAGGAGCGCGAGCGCAACGCGGCGGCCGCGAACGCCGCGCCGAACGCGCCGCCTCGCGGCACCCGCCGACGCTCCGGCCGTCCGGCCGCCGCGTAGTGAGCGGCGTCTGCTGACCGAGTGTGTGCGTGAGTAGGCGGCGGCCAGCCGCAACCGATGTTCATCGACCTGTCGGTATGCAGCCACTCCCCCCGCCGAAGTCGTTTATTGGGGGGGGGTTGGCCGCTTTTAGGTTGGGAGGT